TGAAAAATTCTTTGAGTTATCTTTCCAGTGATGCGAGGACCAAACGATAAACCCATTCCACGTAGAGGGCATGATGTGGAATCCACATTTAAACAAGATGAATTTCCAAATTGGGTTGAAAATTTCGCACCCAAAGAAGATGTTGGAGAATGTTTCTCCTGAAGATAAACAAAATGAGCAGAAGCTAGGCAAATGATAATGTAACATGCTCTGACTTTCATGAATTTGTAGTCTTTCGTGAATTGCCACCCATAACATGAAGTTCTGACTAGGAATGTACAGTTTGAACCAAGCTAAGTGTGCCCAATCCATAATAGCCGAAGGAAGAGTGATAACCTTGTGGGTGTGTGCCAATGAGATCTATTTAATGAGTGATTCCAAAAAGTATGATCCTCCTGATTAATCAAAATTGCTGGCAACGATGATGCAATACTCAATTGGGGAAGTAGTCTGATCAATGAGGATGGAAACGCTCAGGTACCATCTGAAATGAAATTGCTTACTGTAGCATAATGACAAGCCGTATGAATGCTTATAGATCCTTTGATCTTGTACTCTGTCTATGAGGGGGCTATCATGTATCCAATTATCACACCAGAATGAAATAGAACACCCATTGCCTATATGGTGCATGATGAAAGGTCTAGCTGTATGTCGGAGCTGTAACATTTTTCTCCAAGTCCATGGGGCATTATGTGGTAAGTTTACTCTCCAGAAACTTCTGTTTTTGAGTAAAAAGTTATGGTTCTAATCAACCCACAAGTTGTTGTTCCTTCTTGTAAATAGTTTACTCTCCACAAGTTTCTTAGGAATTCCCAGCTCATCTTCTTCGTTGAGCTTACATACATTAACCCAGTTGATTTTAGCCTTGTGAGATTCAAACTTCAGACCAAAGAAAGACACTAAGGATGTTGTTGTTATTGATAGTCTTCTTAGGTAGAATGAACAGTCTAGTCCAATACTATGATACCCCTCGATTCTAGAGTCACGGGGGATCAAGTCCGAGCACAGATCCGAAGAATACCAAATAATTAAGTATATAAACAATCATGCTTACAAGAAGAACTTAATGAATAAATAAATAAATAAGCTGAACGATAACTAAATAATAATTCCTAAAATTTTAATTCAATAATCTAATATTTCCAAAACCTCCAATATTATTACAACTCGGGAATCTATTTAGTGGACCCCTAATAATATTCCAATTGGAAATGAAATAACTAAACTGGAAGGAAAACCAAAACTAAAGCACAAAGAAAAATCTTACGTTGTTAGAAGAGTGAGTGATTGTACGTCTCTGCATTGAATATGTACATTGTTGACTTTCTTGCCATCCTTCTGGTGAGTAGGGTTGTAGCTATATTCCACCTTTATATTAGTGAACTCCCCGTTGGACAGTTTGAGCTTAATTAAATCAATAGGTTTGTGTAATACTCTTAATTTTAAAAAGGACTTAATTGGAATTTAGTTATTGTATTTGATGTGCTTATGTAGATATGTGTTTATGTTGAATTGATTAATTGTTTTATTTACGTGGATTGGTTGTTTAATTGATTATTTTGTTTACCTATTTATTTGCATTAATTGACTAATTGTTATTAAATTGAATTGTTTGTTTAATTAGATATTTAATTATATTTTTATTTTCTTTAATTGAATTAAATTAGATTTAATTATTAGTATTTTTAATTATAATGTTAAAATAGGGTTTTAGTAGGCAAAACTCCCACTAACCCACTAATATGACCATTACTAGTTTTAACTTTCATGACTCTTGATTTTACATAACCTTCACCATCACACTAACTCTCATATATTAATTCTCATTAAGATAATTTACTATCCACTATTATGCTAAATGTCCATTTACATTATGTACACAAATACTTGAAATGACTAATTAAATACTAAAATCAAGTTTATTTTTCAACACCCCCCTTTAAACTTGATTTTGTAACTTGAAAATAAACTTCTTATTAATCTTGGGGGCTTGATCAAAAGTTCGATGGTTGATCTTCAATTCCACCTCCTTCAATAGTTTTAAACTTTTTGGCCATTTCCATTAATGTGTATGGCTTGTGGAACTTCTTCAAATGCTTGAATAATGCCCTCTTATGATCAACATTTATCTTTTCCACATGGGCGCACCATCTGTTTTCTCTCTTCTTGAACTCTTGAACTTCTTATGTGCTTCTTCTTTGGAATAAAAAAATAACTCCATATTCACCCAATCTGTATCAATTACAAAATTCTCCAAACCATCTTTTAAAAAATAATTCGAAAAATTCTTTTCGCCTTTAGCTTCAATCTCATAATTAATTGGAACAATTTTCTTAAAAAGAAGTTCATTATTCTCCACAAAATAAGCATTATTTGATGAATATGAAGAAATAATAATTTCATCAAATAAGTCAAATATAACTTCTTTCAAAGTGGAATTTGTAACCATACCTGAAAATGTTAACTCACCAACTTGAACTTTTGCTTCTTCTTTAGCACTTCCTTCAACAAATCTTCTATTTTCACTTCATCCTCGTCCACTTTTTCAATCTCTTCTTTAACACATTTTCTTACCTCTTTCTCATTCACCATTTCAAATTCTCCTTCAACTTTTGAATTTCCAAAATCTTCAACTTCTTTTGCATGATTCACCTCTTCATTCTCCACAACTTTGTCATCAAGACTTTCATAATCATCTTTCATAAACTCATCATTCTCAAAGCATTGTACCCAATACTCTATGGGTAGTGATTCACCTCTATGATTGGAAACGATGGTCTCAAGCATCTTCCAAACATAACTTGGAGTTTTGGACTCTCCAAAATATACTCCCAAATTTCGTGATGTATTACCTTTGCAACACTACCAATGCCTTCTCTTCTTTCTTTACACAGATCTTATTGGACATGTTATTCTTTCGCTCTTCTCTAACAACATCCCGCAATTCACATGCTTTGAGGTATGAAGTGATGATGATTCTTATTCTCTTGTAATTAAAGAACAACATCTTCTCAGTCAGAAAATACATTTTTCCCTCTTCATCATCATCAAGGAGAAACATGTGTTTTTTCAAAATGTTGAACCTTCTAGGATCAACTTCGTCAGGCCTTCAGAATCGTCTAGGCTCTAAACATGAAATCTGGCTTTGATAATGACTTGGCTTTGATATAGAACTTGGCTCTGATATGTTGGAATCTAGTTCTGAACACCACTTTGTTGGCTTTTTCTCTAATACCACTTTCTGACTTTGCTCTGATACCACTTTGTTGTAAATAGTGGCCTAGTTACACACACAATACTATACTATTTGGAAGAAAATAAAAATGGGGGAAAATATTTTTTATTTCACTTGATTGACAATGGGTACAATACATGAGTTTATATAAGTTTCAAAACATAAATGTAAATGAAAAATTAACACCCCACTAACATAACATTTAGTAGGCAAAACTAACCCACTAGCCCACTAACATGACCATTACTAATTGTAACTTTATAACTCTTGATTTTACATAACCTTCACCATCACACTAACTCTCATATAGTAATTCTCATTAAGATAATTTACTATCCACTGATATGCTAAATGCCTACTTACATTATGTACACAAATACTTTAAATGACTAGTTAAATACTAAAATCAAATTTATTTTAAACAGCCTTCTCTGATGGAAAGAAACCACCAAACACGAGTTCCATAAAGGTATCCCTTACTAGGAAACCTCTGGAGTTTGTTCAATCAGAACCTCAGTACAATTATCTCTTATTTATCTCTTAATAGCTTATTAAGAGTTCATATTGGACACCGATGATTCATTTCTCTATTGCAAAGTTCGATACTGAAGAATAATATTTCATACCAAAATTTTTAGGTGAAAAAAATCAATTCTTAAATGATACACTTATATCTACAAAATTAATAAAAGCTCAATATTATTTTGTTGCAGTATTTTAAATAGCCAATTTAGATTTTCTTTTTTCTTTTTTTTTTATTTCTCTTACATTAATTGGGTCTAGTTAAATGTTCCATGAAGAACTTAGTAAAACGGAGTGAGAGAACTCCTCTCTCTCACAGGATTAATAAATTCTTTATAAACATAAATTTTGAAAGAGTAATAATATTTGCACCTAAAAAATAGCCTATTTCACTCACCAAAGTTATGTGGCAGAATTGAAATACAAGTCTCTAAGACAAACCAATTATTGATCGATTGAGATGTTCATTGTTGATCGCTGATTAACACTTTGGGATGAGAGATTTGTCCTTATTTATTACAGTACTAATTAATTAATTAAAAGTCTATGTTGGATACTGCTAACTGAAATAAAAAAAAAACTAAAATAGTTTAGTCCTATTGCACAGCTGTTATTGAAAAATGATATTACGCTTTTAGACTCTAAAGAGTCTGTGTTGGACATTACTAATTGTAATAACGAAAACTGAAATAGTTTAGTCCTATTGCATAACTTTTATTGAAAAATGATATTTTTATACATGAATTTTTAGGTGAAAAAACTCAATTCTTAAATGATACAATTATATCTCCAATTATATTGTTGTTAAAAACGGTGTTTTAAATAGGTAGTTTGGAATTATTATTATTATTTTTTAATTTCTCTTATCTTAATTGGGCTTTAGTTAAATACTAATAGTTCATGAAAAACTGGCAGAACTAAATGTGAACTCCTTAATAACTTCTTTATAGATATAAAATTTGAAATACAAGTAACTACTAAAAGCTACATTGACCTGTATAGAAACTTAGCTCTGTGATCGAGATTAAAAACTGCTTGAAGTCTTAACCAAATGAAAGTAAAAGAATACAAAATTTCCCTCACGTACCCTAGTACTCTTCCTTGTTTTCCTCGATCCAAACACTGCCCAACAAGAAAACAACCCAAACCTTTCCTCTATATAAACCTACCACCCTGCATGTCTCTCAATCTCAGAGCCTCTGACGCCCAAAGAACCCTAGCAAGCAAATAAGCTCCAACAATGGCGTCATCAAGAGCTCTCACCTCAGTCCAGTCTCTCGTGAAGCTACTCGCTCCACTTAATGTCTCTCCAGCTTCTCCAGCAGTTCTCGTTCGTTCCTTCACCTCCTCCACTCCTCCAGGAAAACGCTCCTCCACTCCAGAAAAACGCTCCTCCACTCCTCCTCCTCCTCCAACTCCTCCTCCAGAAACCAGTGTTTCTGATTCCGATTACTCCGACTACTCCGATTCTGATGACTCCGACTACAACGATTCCGAGCAGGATACAGACCACTCTTCTGACTCCGACGACTACGATCCTTACTCTGAAGGTAAGAAAAACTGGTCATTCAGTTGTTTATCCGATTCCGAACAGTAATTTTGTTAGTGTTGAATTTGACTGATTTTTATTTTATTTTATTTTATTGGGTACGTTGTTTCAGATTCTGATCTGGTTAATCCCTTTCTGAAAGAAGGGCCAGAGAGTCCCTTCACTGTGGTGAAAAACGAAGAAGCCATGCATGCGAGGTTGGACATGCCAGGTATCAACAAGGAAGGGCTGAAAATGTGGGTTGAGGACAACAGTCTGTACGTCAAGGGATCGGAAGTGGTGGATGATCCTCAATGTCCATTGGCGAAGAAGGATGGCCCGAGGAAGTACTCCGGTGACATTCATCTCCCTCAGAGCCGCTACAAGGCGGAGGAGATCGATGCCGAGCTCAAGAACGGTGTGCTCAAGATCATGGTCCCAAAGGTCAAGAAAGAAGTCATCAATGTCAAAGTCAAATGAGTTAGGTTTTAGTTCTAGTTTAGGTTTAGTTTGGGTTTTCTTAATGTCTCGATCAGTAGGGTTTGGTTTTTAAGTCGTTTTTGCTAGGATTCAAATGAGTTAGGTTTTAGTTCTAATTTGGGTTTCTTAATGTCTCACTAGGGTGAGCTAGTTATGGTTGAATGAAAGCTTACAATTTCAACCAGAAACTGTTTTATGTTTTTTTGTTTCTTTCTTTCTCTTATTTAATTGATGTATTTGTTCCATATATATATTGAAAATTTAACTTTCAAAAAAAAAAAAAAAAACATGAGTGAGGTACATAGTGAGGTTCTCCCACAGAGGTTGTTTTGTAGCAACAGTATTAGCTCCATAAACAATGGAGAGAGCAAACTGAACTCCTCCATTAAAAATAGTGATCCTACAGTGGATAACCTGAGTATGAGTCTCCGAGATATGAACCTTATGAGGATCCCACAAGATCTAAATCTTCCCAAGAATGGGGTGACTGTAGTTTTCTACCATAGACCAGTGCCTTGCCAAGAAATTGTGAATGTTTAACTTTATTTGCAAGATTAACTCTGGTATCCAAAATGACCATAATATCAAGCTTTTGAGAAGCTATCGAGTTTTTTATTGCTACTTGCTTAGTGGTCTTGTTAAGACCCCTAATATTCCATACTGCCATGAAGGTCATTGATCAAGGGTTTTACGGGAACCCCTGAGGTTGGAGAACCTCCTACCAGTCGTGGCAACACTCTTTCCTTTGCAATTGATACTAGGTTTCACATTCTTCTTTATGGAACTAGGCTTGGAACATTCCTCCTTCTGCTCACATTCAGTCTATTGTAGGACTTGGAACATATTTGTTACAGCTGTGTGGGCTGCTTTAGAGTGTTTAAAAGAGGGATAAAATTCAACAACAATATGACCCTTACCATTATCAGAAAAATGGCGGGTGCTGGTGGTAGCCTTGGATTTAAGAGGGGAGCATGGTGCTGAGACAGAAGCTAGCAATATTAAGATTGGTAGGTTAAGAACATGGTTTGGAAGGACTAGATGGAGTAGAACATTGAATGTTGTGGCTAGGTGGGATAGTGGTGAGAGAGGATGGGAAGATTGTGCAGTAATAGTGTGGGAGGGTTAATAGGAGAAAGTAAGGTGTTTCGAGGTGGAGAGCCTTTCCTCTGAACCACCCTCTATTGGTTAAAGGTGGATGGATAGTACATCATTTGGTGGGTGATGTGAAACAGGGGAAGCACTGCTTTGAATATGTACATTACCAAAGGACCAAATGGCCCAGCAATATCACCCCTTTCTCCCCAGAAGGGAGGTCGGAGATTCGAACTTCGATGGATCAAAAAAAAAAAAAAAACCATATGTACATTGTTGACTTTCTTACCATCCTTCTGGTGAGTTGGGTTCCAGCTATATTCTACCTTTATATTAGTGAACTAGGCAGTTTGAGCTTAATTAAATCAATAGGTTTGTCCATGTGGTTAACTTCAACACATAATCTTGCAAAGACAATTTGCAGCCTTCCCTTAATAGCATCATTTGCAAATAGGGGCTTCCCTATAGTACTTGCAATATAACTAATTAAGCCCTTTCCCAGTCCAGAACTGTAGTGGAACATCATAAAACCTGATCCAAGTTAAAGTTGAAGAAGGAAGATCATTTAAGCAATGAGAATTCTCAGTCCATTTTAGGAGGGCTATATACTTCCATCCCATAAACCATGAAAAACTTCTGGTCAACAGCCACCTCCCTAAGCCCAAAACTAGCCCAGAGCTTAAAGGCGCTGGCTTTGACGTGCCCAAAGGGAAGCCTTCTCTGATGGAAAGAACCCACCAAACATGAGTTCCATAAAGGTACCCCTTCTTGGGAAGCCTCTGCACGCACGGGCGCGAATCACCTGCTGTAATTATTCCTGTAGTCCTCTGTTGTCCACTGTCTTGTGACGTTGGTTTGGCCACGGATTTCTTCATAAAACAGATACTAAGTCGGCGTTTGGCAATTACACCACTTTATTTCACCACCATTTATAAGTAACATCACATGATCTAAAAAGTAACATCACCATTTATTTGCATACCTTAATTTAAGGGTGAAGATACACCACCATTTATAAGTAACAATTCACCACTATTTATAAGTAACATCATAGGATCTAAAAAGTAACATCACAGGAGTCTAAAAGTAACATCACCATTTATGTGCATACCTTAATTTAAGGTTGAAAAGTAATATCACAGGAGTCTAAAAGTAACATCACCATTTATGTGCATACCTTAATTTAAGGTTGAAGATACTTATAAATGGTGGTGAAATGTTACTTATAAATGGTGGTGTAATTGCTAAACACAGTATTTGAATTGAGTTACATTGGTATGTAACATTACTTAGTCTGTATTATATGCATAACTTATTCTGTGTGTAAGGATACTTATAAATGGTGGTGAAGAAGGATCCAAACGTTGTCTCAATTCCACTCAAACGCTGCCTTAAGAGCTATTAAATGAAGAATGATGTGGCAAAATATAGGCCACTTAAAACTCACAACTGGGGACTGCATAGAATGCTCACAGCAAAAAATTTGCTCCCCTGCACACACTGCCCTGGACACCGGTGATTTATTTCTATTGCATAGTTTGATACTGAAGAAAAATATTTTATACCAAACTTTTTATGTGAAAAAAAATCAATTCTTAAATGATACACTTATATCTACAAAATTAATAAAAGCTTAATATTATATTGTTACAGTGTTCTAAATAGCCAGTTTAGATTTTTCTTTTTTCTTTTTTTATTTCTCTTACATTAATTAGGTTTAGTTAAATGTTCCATGAAGAACTTAGTAAAAACAAGTGAGAGAACTCCTCTCTCTCTCACGGTATTAATGATCTCTTTATAAACATAAATTGTGAAAGAGTAATAATATTTACACCTAAAAAAAATAGTCTATTTCACTGTTATGTGGCAGAATTAGAATACAAGTCTATAAGACAGACCAATTTTGTAGGAGCAGACAGAAGAGAGAGAAAATTGGCCTAGTGTTAGCCCTTTGACAGTTGTCCAAGGGAAGACATGGGCATTTCAAGGCCATTCCATGTCTTGGGAATACTTTGGCTTTGGTTAGACAGCCATGAGGATGCTCAGTGGGTTGTCAGCGTGCACAAGATGCTCAGCGTGCACACAAGATGCTTAAAAGGATGCTCGGCGTGCACTGGGGGTGTACGGCACTCAATTTGGATGTTGGGAAAGGCTTGAAAGGCCATTATGACTCCTCAAGCATGGGTGATGTTTACTCCTGTCAGAGTGCTGGATTTCCTTAAGACTATACTAGGGGGGGTCTGTTGAGCACATCGGCTGGGCTATGGCATGGCTTGCTTAGAGGGCTTAGCCAACGTGCATGGGCACGTGTTGCACCACTCCAAGATGGTTGCACAAGTGAGGAGCATCCAAGATATTGAAGGGCAAACAAGTGGGCACTGACACGCGCGCTGGTGTGCAACGGCGCGCGTGAAGGCATGTAGGTGGGCGCGCAGGCAGGCGTCCAACCTAGTGTGCGCGAGTGTTTAGCTCGGCGTGCGCACGGGCGTCCAGGCGGGCATACAGCCACGGGCGCATGAGGGTTCAAACATGGCGCACGTAGAAGGGCACTAGTGTGTGCGTCGGCTTGCACTTTGGCATGCACCCGAGCGTGCGCATGGGCGTGTATGGCTTGGCACGCCGTGCACTCAGAAATATATATACGTGGGTGCAGATTGGTGGACTTGGCTTGGACTAGGTTCACAAGGTTGACTCAGATGTGGCTAGAGCATAGACAACACAAAGTCATGGCTTGCGGTTACAAGAGGTGGTGGCTTAGTGAGCTCGGTCGGTTGGGGGAAGTTATTAGCACTTCCCACTCATCATGGGAAGTGGGGGAGTGCTGAGTAACCTCCCAAGCATGTGGCACAATTCTGAGAGGATCAACACACAGGCGGTTAAGGGTGGTTTATTCCACTATGCAGAATATAACTTCTTGTGGTTATGTGGCATGAGCAGAACATGCCAACAAGTCTAGCAGTTGGGCTTGTCAACTGCATTATGGTGCTGACACATTTAGAGGGTGCCAGCACGACCCTAGGTGGATGGGGGTGTCATCCATCATCTTATTGGGCAGTTATGGGCGGTTTTGAGAGTGGCCTATATAATGCTAAGGTGGGCTTTGTAGAGGGAACAAAGAGGAGGGTGTGAGCCTTGGTTGTTCCTTGTACGAACTTATTTTCCTTTGTAATATGTTTAATATGAGCAAAGGTTGGGGCTTGTCCCTGTAAACTGTGTGTGCCTTCTTTACATTTCTATACTGTGTGTATTGTGTTGTTATATTGGCTGAGACTTGGTGGCCCCAAGTGCCATTACAGAGGCAAAAATTCGTGGTGTAATTTAACCCTGTAACAATTGGTATCAGAGTCCCTGATGAGTACTGAAAAGTACGCATTTAAACCCGTTAAGCTTAAGCATTCTAGTACCTTTATCTATCTTACTTTACCGTTTTAGACTTATTACGTGTTATTTATATTTTTAGGCACTAATCCCAAAATTGAGCTAACTCAGCCAAATAAGAGCTTAATTGAAGCAATCCTGAGATAAACCAAAGGAGGGAGCAAAGTGGAGAAAGAAAGGAGCAAAAAGGAATCAAAGTTGTGCAGCTGAAAAGTTCGATCGATCCAACTTAGAGTTCGATCGATCGAACATCTATGATCGATCACAGTACTTCTCGATAGATCCAACCTTGGCCTTTGCTGAAATTCCAAGTTCGATCGATCCAACATCACCTTCGATCGATCGAACCCTATTTTGTCCTATTCAAATGATTGATCTTATCCACAGCTGTACGCCTACCAACCACTTTTGTCCTTTTCCCTATAAATATCTTCGAAATATCTCAGCCTTGTCCTTATCCGGAGGAGTCAGACCACTTCGATCGATCCAAGATGCAGTTCGATCGATCGAACCCATCTTCGATCGATCCA